TAGGTTTGACTGACAGATGAGAGGATAAAGAAGACAAACCTAGGGGAGTCCAAAGTCAGGAAAGATGTGGTCAGGCAGAGGTTACTGTGGCCTGCAGCGAAAAATAAGGTTGCCAGGTGTTCGATTTTGAACCGGACAGTCTAGTATTTGAGCTTCTGTTTGGGAAACAAATCGAGAAAATATAAATGTCAGGTATTTTCTAAATAATATGTAATGTAGATTGTGATGTAATGTCAGATATGTCCGGTATTTGTTGAAACCATCTGGCAACCCTAGCTAAAAGGTTGTGTGCAGGATACAAAACAAGCAGAAACACAGAATAAACAGTGCAGGGAATAGGACACTGCAACTGGAGAAATTTTTTATGTTAAAACAACCCCAAGAGCTGCAGAAGGAAGAGTTGAAAGAATATATTCTGGATTTGGGTATCAGTGTCGAGGGTTTACATTTTTATATTTTGTTTGGCAGGAAATGAGGCACATGAAAGTGGTGGTATTATTAACAGGGTTAAAGGCAGATGAGTTGTAATGGGTTGGAAAACAATTGTGGAGCTATTCATCCTGGTTGAAGAGTATGCATGAGCATAGCATACACATATATATCTTTTTTTTTTTTGCTTGCTATTTCCAGCTAATTAAATCCTCTTGCATAGAAAGTTGCTACTTTGAGCTTTGAAATGTATACATATCAAAGAAGTGCATGCATGGAATATGTTTTTTCACAGGAATTGTCGCAAAAATCCATTTTTATTAGCTTTACAGCAACTTATAAGAGCATAGTATAGCTTGTCTAATGGCAAATAAATTGTGATTCCTCACATAGCCACTTTGAACTCTAGAGCATTAACACTGAATTATTTCTTCATGGTTGAGGCCTTAGAATTCAAACTATAATATGAAATAAAATGGCCTTTTGATACATGGTACAGTGAGGGAAGTGACTTAACTGAGTAGTTCATTATTCTTCTGAAATAAGAGGGAGGCATTTACTGGTTGGGATACAAGTTGTTTCCCGCCACCCCCTTGTCTGCTGGCTTGATCTGCAGTGTCAGCATTCACAAAAATGGAATTCACTAAAAGCTTCCTTCAGTATGAGAGCTTATTTCCAACATATTGCTCCGCTCCCCTACTATCCTGACATTTGAGAAGAAACACATGCTTGTCTGATGCTTTTGAGACTGCTAAACACTGATTTGTAGAAGCTATAGTTTTGCTTGAAGATGACCCAATGAGGTTGGAAGGGTTAGGGAAAGCAACAGTAAGTTAGTTGAAACATCATCATTAGACACAATGTGAGGTCCAACATGAATATCAAGTAACATTAATTATGTTGGAGTCTATATAATGTTTTTGTCTATGTTTCTTTAGAATAATTTTATATGGGGTGATCAAGATTTTGGGCCATGACCCTGGCAGAGTTCATAAGCAGAGCACAGTAGAACTAGAATGGGAGACCTACATGGCTCGCTTGCATGCTACAGGAAGTGGAATTGGTTATCCAGAAAGTGACATGAATGTCCTCTGAATCTTTACTGAAGAAATGCCCGAGTGTGTTATTAGGGAGCTCTGTGCTGCTGGAGGTGATACGTCTTCAGATGAATCTGAGATCGTGGTTACTAGAGGCCACCAAGGATCTGGTGTGATTTATTTTATTTCATTTTGCAAGAGCAGAGTGAATGAAACTCTTGTCTTTAGTTTGAAGAATATCATTATAATTATTCTCATTGGAATCAGTGGAAGCTGTGGATGCTTGGTACCTTTGAAAATCAAGCCATTTATGTGGACTAGACTGACCACTTGTGGTTTTGACTCCAATTTGTCCAAGGAAAGCTGCAGTTACATCCTCTGGCTATACTGCTGTTTTGGTGCACTGCAGGCTGAAAGATGAATGTTGCTTAGCATTCCATCTCTGATTAGCCTGCTGAAAGGGGATATGTAGGAACTTGGATGGTGCTGTAGAGCAGTGATTCCCAGTCTGTGGTCTGCGGACCCCGATGATCTGCGATGGTACTCTGCGGGGCGTGGGGAGGTCCGCTGAAAGTTTAAAAGTAAGGATTGGGCCCACCACGGGACTGAGACTTTCTGCCAAATGATTCTCACTAGGGGCTCATACTTCGCGACCACCCGTCCTCCCGCCACCAGCTGTGCTGCTGTTTATGCTCCAGCCCTCTCCCCTCCCCCAGTCCCGCGGTGGGGATAGAAGGGGTGGGAACTGAGGAAGCAGTACAGGCCAAGGGACATGGTGGTCACTGCTTCCTGCTGCTCCCCTTGACCCAGAACAGTGAAAGGCAGAGACTGAGAGCTGCAGTCGCTCCACGTGGGTAAAATGTCCCAGCGCGTCAGTGGTTTGGCTGGCTGGGCGGGGAAGTGACCCTGGGAAGTGCTGCAGACTCTGCTGTGCTCTGCTGGGACATTTGTTCACTTGCAGAGTCTGAGGGTACATCTAGACTACATGCCTCTGTCATCAGAGGCATGTAGATTAGGCTACCAGGCATAGGAAAATGAAGCGGCGATTTAAATAATCGCTGCTTCATTTAAATTTACATGGCTGAGCCGATCAGCTGTTTGTCGACTCAGCGCGGTAGTCTGGACGCACGGGTGTCGACATCAAAGGCATTTGTCGACCACCCAGGTAAACCTCATCTCAGGAGGCTTACCTGGGTGGTCGACAAATGCTTTTGATGTCGACACCCGCGCGTCCAGACTACCGTGATCGGCTCAGCGCGGCAGCCATGTAAATTTAAATGAAGCGGCAATTATTTAAATCGCCGCTTCATTTTCCTATGCCTGGTAGCCTAATCTACATGCCTCTGTCGTATCCTTAGATGCTGAGCGTGGGGCAGAGAGGGAGGGGGATGGTGGTGGGAGGAGGGATGGGAACAAACTGAGGGATTTGCAGCTTTGCTTGCGGCACCGAGCCTCTCCACTCCCATTGGCTGTGGACAGTGAACAGCAGCCAATGGGAACGCCCTGCAGTCTGCACGTCCCTGTGACTGTGCTCTGGCATCGGCTTATAAACAGGTCAGTCACTTTTTACCATTTTTTCTCTTTTTTGAAACAATCATGCTAAGTGAATACGGCACGCTGCTGTAACCATTTAAAAGGTATGAGAGCGGCAGGGAGGGGTTAGTTGGGCCACTAGCAAAAATGGATCGGTGGGTCCAATAAAATTTTATTCAATAAAAATACATGGCACCTCAAAGTTGTTTAATTTCAATGTGGACATGTTGTATTATCTCTCAGCACTACTATATTTGTTTAGATAACATGAACTATTCTACATTTCCAATGATTATCAAGTAATAGAATGTTTGAAAAGAGCTACAGGTAGTCCCTGACTTACAAACGCATCAACGTACGACCAGCCGCACTTATGACCAACCTCCCATTAAGCGCGGCCCTGACTTAGGAATGGCAATCCACGCTTACGAATAGCGCGGTCCCATTGAAATGAATGGGGTCCAACTTACGAACACATCGAGTTACGACCAAGTGCTTGGTATGTAACTCGTTCTTAAGTCGGAGACTGGCTGTATATTGTTTGGAGGGGTCCATAACATTGTAATAGATTGAAAAGGGGCCCATATGCTCAAAAAGGATGGGAGCCACTGCTGTAGAGGTTTCCGATTTCCCTTCTCTCTACTTTCTTTTCACATTATGGTCCTTCACGTACAAATCAGGTAAATGATTTTGAAGTTGGGCAGTTTGGTTGGTTTGGTTTCATTTAACTGAAAATTTTCATTTTTTAAGATTTCCCTTCCTAGTTATATAACAAAAGTCACCAAACATCCATCTTTTTTCTTAATAAAAATGTGGTATGCCTAGACATGTTGAGCCAAATTCATTCATAGTATTGCATAATTGCTTTCCAAAGAGTTACGCTGGAGATGAATTTGGCCTGGTATTGCAGTTTTTTGCCTGAAGCAAACCTTTATAGCAGAGTTGTATTTCTCTCAGAAATATAAAAGAACCTGACAGATCTATAGCTGGTGTTAGCAGGTGCTGCTATATTGAATTATTTCTTATTAAACTGATTCAGCAACTTGAAGCTTGTAATTTTTGTTCTGCTGTAGTCCCATGGCAAAGACTTTTAAAAACATAGATGAAATGTGTAATGTCTTCTGTAGTTTCTCCTTTCCTTGGTATTATTATTTTTTTAAAGATTTCACCTTATGTATTGTTCAGACTCTTGTTATTCATTTGGTAGGATCTAAACATGTTAGTATGTCCAGTTAACCATACTGGGCTGATTTCATTTCTGGTGCTGTTTTCCTGATGCCATTGATAATCTGGAATAAATTTGTTTTGTTTTATTTAACATGTTTATTATTTTTAGATTTAATGTGCTGGATTCTCATTGGGGCAAACACTTCCATTGAAATTGGTGCAGTGACAGCAATTTGTACCATCTGAGGATAAGCACCATTATTTTAAGGCTTCCAATGTAAATCCAAATTAAATATATTACATACAACAGGTTTTTTTGCATTAGGTATTTACCAAGTTATACTTCATAAAAAGTAACCTTATGCCCTATTCCTATATGCAGTAGGGCAGAAAAAATGAAGCGTGCCTCCTTGCTTTTGTTTCAAGATATTCAGTTCTACAAATGGTTCAGGATAGAATTGTGCTTGTATTTTACTTTTTATTGTTTTTTTACAAACTCCGTAATCACAATTGCTCATCACTACCGGGCCCGTTGCTGGCAAGTTCTGTGCAAGTTACCTTAGGCAAAGAATGGTTGTAGGCAAAGAATGTCTGTGTTAAGTTCCACATCTTCAATATCTTTTTGTTTGTTTGTTTGTTTTTTAGGTTTATTTTCTTTAAGACTCCAGGCTTAGGCTTGGAGACCCCAGCCACCATCATTGAGCCCAGCAGCTGGAGCGGCAGCGAAAGCGTGACTCGGCAGATAAACCTATTGACAATGATGCAGAAGGTGTCTGGAGCCCTGACATTGAACAGAGCTTTCAGGAGGCTCTAGCTATCTATCCTCCATGTGGGAGGAGAAAAATCATCTTATCAGATGAAGGCAAAATGTATGGTAAGTAGTGAAAATGTAACCCTTTGAAATAATTGTCCAATGAGAAGCAACACAGCCAAAGCTGTATGTAGACAAAAGACTAGATTCTTATCTCCAGATACACAATTGTAAATCAGATAGACCCCAGATGAAGTTAAGGAAGTTCCAGAGCATTCAGTTACTGATCTCTCCAGATCTCAGCGATTGGTAGAAAAGATATATTTGCAATTCTGCAGCTGTATCTACAATGTGGCTGAATAAGAGTGTTTAAAAGGTTTTAAATGGGGTTCCTTGTGCATAAATAATAGTGGTAAGCACTCTTCAATTTGCAATAAATACTACAGTAAAATAAAATCAACTTGAACAATCATTAGGAATTAGAGCACGTTAATACAGAAGTGATAAAGTTCGTGTCGCTTTCACAGTCCTCTCAGAGAGTGATGCAAGGTCTTTATCTCTTTTTCTCTTTATGAACTACTATAAAGTGTATGATGTTCTAACAGTGTTTTGTAAATATAGCCCATCTGAGAATATGGACATCTTGGCACATTTTCCCTGTTGTTTAGTTTTGTCTTTCCAGTTTCCTTTAGCTAAACTCTGACTTTGGAGAATTAGTTTGGCCTCCTGCTTATTTTTTTGTTTAAACTTTTGCAAATATTGCTGATTGCAGAGTTTTAGTTTTGGCTCTTCCGGCTATAAAAAGCAGATGGTGGTTTGTTCCTGTGCACTTTATGTTTTTATCAATCAGGGAGTGTTTTGGTGGTTGTGTTTGTGTACTGTTACTGTTAAAAATGATCAGGAGTCTATCTGACACATGGATGCAGCTTTCTTGATCCTTGGAGTAATTTGTTCCTAAATAATTGTAAATATGTCACATAATGGCATGTTGTGTCTTTAACACAGTCCCTTCTCCATTAATATCAGTAGGAACCTACAGAGTAAACTAGCAGGCACTGTCAGGAGAAAGCAGATGGCACTGCAGCTGCCACCAGCTGTGCCCCCTCCCCCAGTACTAGTTGGATGATGTAATGGAAACAAGGGGAAAATGTCTTTCTGTGGTGTTGGGAGTCTCTCACAGCCTGTCAGTGTCACAGCGAGGCAGAAACAAACCTTAAGGCGTTAGTTTGCAGCTGTCATGTGACCCTTGCAGCCAAATGAAACATAATGTCTGGAAAAATAGACTTGTGATGAAGCATCTCAGCTGCTGTTGGCAGAAAGTTTCTAGGCCTTTGGTTTCCTGCTGGATTTTTTTTTTTAATCTAAGAATACAGTTTTTCTCCTCATTATTCCCCCTTCACCTGTTATTTCCTTCTATTTTGATTGAAAGGCTTTTTGTTGTCACTCTTTAAAAAAGGATGAAAATCAGTTTAATGAACAGGTTGCACTTTCTGTGGAATGACTTAGAGATATACTTGCAAATATGTTTGTTATATATTTATAGTTCAAGACTACTCAGATGTGGACACCAAAATATGCCAAAAATAATGTTGGCTCCTTTTTTAAAATCAGGGTCCCATAATCCATAGATAATTTATTGTAATGACTACTGAAATGTATTTTTTTGTCTTGTAAGATCCCCTTCTGCGGAAAGAAATGGATCAGTAATGTGAATTTTTGTGTTTTAATGAAAATTCATACATTTGTACGTATGATATGTGAATGTAGGTTTGATAAGACAATTGTACTGAATCCTAAATGCCGAAAGACTACTAATTATATTATAGAAAACCATCTATGCAATACATAGGCATAGTTAGTTGACAATAAATACATTAAACAATATCGGCATCATCTGTCATTATATACAATATAAAACTGTTATTTTGAATATAATTACAAATCCTAAATAAAATGTGTTTCACATTAATTTGATATGAAAATCAAGTACATCTGTTGATTTAAAATGTTGCTATAATTTTGAAGAAGAAATGTTAGGAAATGCAGAATACTATATTTCTGATATTTGCATCCTGACTTTTTTAGTGGATGAACTCATGTTTTCATTCTTCAAGCTGAGTAACTGCTTTGTAGTGTTTTGAGGATTTATTGAAGCCATGCTAGGTTCCTGAGGACTTTATAATAGAGTCTTATGGCCATAAGAACATAATTGTTCTCCAAGGATTTTGAAATCAAAACAGCAGAAGTGTTTTAGATTCTGTGTGGCATAATGAAAATAATTTAATGCCTTTTAGTGGCATACCAAGTTTATTTCTCTTACGAGAAAGACATTACAATATTTCTAAGATTCCACAGGGCTGGGGCATTTTGTAATGTGTCAGTGACTCATGAACCATGCCAGACAAAAGGTCAAGACAGTACCATTTCATTTTCTGTCTGAAATTACCTTTAAATGTAGATACTAGAACAAATATGATTTTCTGTAAAGACAAATGTAATGATCTCTTTGTCATGGGCTCAAGTTAGTGCAATTGTAATTTTGCTTTTCCAAAAAGGTATATTTTGAAGAAGGGAGGAATCTGTTGCCACTATAGATTTAATAAGACATTTTAGTTTCAGCAGAAGGCAGAATTGCTTCACGGATCTTTTTGTAATTATCTTGAGCAATTGTTACGAGTGGAGCTAATTAATGTGATTGGGTGTGAGTTCCTTGCTTTCTTATTTTGACTGTAGGGGTGTGTGCAGGTACTCCTGGTTTTTGTAAATCCCATACCTGCAGTGGAGGTATGTGAGAATTGTCTTCTGTGAAGAAAGAAATGTGCTGTGTGAGTTCTATGTCAAGCATTGAGGGATATCCCTGGCTTCTGTGTTTTGCGAATATGACTTGGTTTTCTTCAGTTGTTCTCCCACACATTTGTGATTATTTTAGAAGAAGTGGGACAAAGCCGTTCCCAGGTCATTCTCCCTCTACTATGGCCCTTCCATGAAAGTAGCCCATGGGAATGGATCAAGAGTATCAGAGAACTTCTCTGGCTATTGCAGCCCACAAAGGAGGATTTTAGGACTGTGTGGTTTGGGTTGGAAGGAGATGTGGTTTGGGTTGGGAAGAAGATTTGGCCTCTCACTACTGCAGATCCAGAGGCTACACAGAGAAAAGAACTGCGAAATGCATAGAAACAGTGATGTCTTCTGTTATATCTTGATTCTATCTTAGCTGCTTTAAGGCCCCACCACTCCATCATTGAAACCATGCAACAAAGCATTAGAAACTCCTGAACTGTGACTTAAGGAAATAATTGGGTAAAATATGAAGACTTGTTGATTAGAGTTCATGCCAGTAATATTGGTCAGGACATACCTAAAAGAGATTGGCCAATAATGACCAAAGAAATAGAGAAGATGGTTTCTGCAGGATGGTGCCACTCAGAGTTACATCTTTTGTCCTCAATGATGGAAAGTGCTATGGTTGAAAAATGGAAGTGAATAACAAAGTCTGATCTAGGATGGAGTACATCACTCTGAAAATTGCTGAGAACCAGCTGCTGCTCACTTTTGGAAGAAATAAGCAAGGAAGAAACAGGCTACTTTTATACCCACATTGCTTACATTTGTCATGTTGGGTCTTCAGTGTTAGAAAGATTTTTTGTTAGAAAGAGGAAGTGTGACACTGCAGGATTTATTTCCCCTCCCATAAATAGTTATGAATTCGTAACTTTCTGTTCTAAAACTCAATAAAATCCATAGTCCATTAGGCCTGGTCTACATTAGGACTTTTACATCGACTTTTCCCCATACAGTCAATTTTCTAAGTGATGCATCCACACTACAATGCCTGTCACATTGACCTGAAGGGCCGCAGAAGTCAGTTTCAGTACTCCTGCTTTTCACGAGGAGTAAAGCTATTCCCAACCTTGCATGGTTGAAATTACAGTAGTGTGACTACAGTGCTGCTGGAAAATTGACACTGTTGGCCTCCGCGAAGCTTCCTGCAGCTGTCTGCTCTGGCACTGCTATTGCTCTCCTGCCGAGCTAAAAAAGGCCTGGTAACAATAGAAGGACCTTTCCTGTTTGGCCATGTGGTGACCCCATCTGTGAGTGAGCAGTACGTGGCGATGACTTTTGAGTAATCTGACCAAAAGTGCGACAACTTTGAGGACTTCTACTCCCATGGGCTCCAGTTCCCAGGGGCACAAAAGAGCTCCAGCATGGAGTGTCCAGGAGATCTTGGTCCTTATCGAGGTGTGGGGAGATGAAGCCATCCCCACTGAGCTCTGAACCAGCAAGCAGAATGCCAAGATTTACGGCAGGATTGCAAGTTGCATGGGGGCTAGAGACTATTCCAAGGGATACCCAGCAGTTCAGAGTGAAAATCAAGGAGCTGTGCCGGTCCTACCATAAGGGGAAGGAGGAGAGTGGATGGTCTGGTGCAGCAGCTCACACATGCCACATCTAAGACCAGCTGGATGTCATGGGAAGGGGGCAACCAGTATTCCCAGTGTGCTTGTGGAGTCCGTCCAAGACACACCTGTTGTCAGCCTGGAGGACACCATGGGGGCCGAGGGGCAGGAGAAAGAGAAGGAGGGGTATGTCTACACTACCCCGCTAGTTCGAACTAGGAGGGTAATGTAGGCATACCGCACTTGCAAATGAAGCCCGGGAAATGAAGCTCCTCATTCCACGAGGAGTAATGGTAGTTCGGACTAGGAAGCCTAGTCCGAACTAGCTAGTTCGTGCCGCGTGTAGCCGCGCGGCACGGGGTTCGAACGAGCAGGGATTTAAAAATGGCGGCGCCCAGTTTATGCAAATGAAGCCCGGGAAATTCAAATCCCGGGCTTCATTTGCAAGTGCGGTATGCCTACATTACCCTCCTAGTTCTTACTAGCGGGGTAGTGTAGACATACCCGAGGAGACTAGTCAGCCAGTGATTGACAAAAGCCAGGAGCTGTCCCCTCATCACAGGATGTCTCCCAGTCCAGCACCAACCCTGGGAAGGGCACTTCTGGTTAGTTCACTAGCTTTGTACATAAGAACATAAGAACATAACATAAGAACATAAGAACGGCCGTACTGGGTCAGACCAAAGGTCCATCTAGCCCAGTATCCTGTCTATCTACAGTGGCCAG